CCCTTCGTCTAGATTTCCTCAAACGCTATTGGTACTCGTGCGCCATTAAAAAAAAGTCTAGCCCTGACCGGTTTGGCTCAGTGGATAGAGCGTCGGCCTGCGGACTCAAGGGGTCCCAGGTTCAATTCCGGTCAAGGGGCATGTACCTTGGTTGCGGGGACATCCCCAGTAGGGAATGTGCAGGAGGCAGCTGATCGATGTTTTCTCTCTCATCGATGTTTCTAACTATCCCTTTCCCTTCCTCTCTGTAAAAAAAATATCAATAAAATATATTTTTAAAAAGTCTAACTTTGTAATTTCATGTATTTTCAAAACCTAAATATAACTGGTTTTACCTGTGCAAATTTCACCCAGCAGTAAGACCATTTCCATTTCTACGGAAGCACTTGAACGGTAAGGAGAAAGGGGGCATGTGCGTGTGTGTGTGTGCGTGTGTGTGTGTGTGTGTGTGTGTGTGTACTGGTTTCGCAGGTACTACGATCCCATTTTACAGATGAGGATGCGGTTCCCACACAGGCGACTCTCAAGGTCACCCAGCTGTTTAAGCAGCAAAAGCCAAGACCTTCACACTCTGCTACGTGGGGTGCCGCAGGGGACGCCCCGTCGCGCCCACTGACCTGGTCGGACACGTTGTACCAGTCGTAATCGAAGGAATGCACGTTCTTGCTCTGAGAAAAGGATAAGATGAACAGGTTGTAGCAGGCGCGGGAGGCGTACAGCAGGACGACGGTCACGCCGACGGCGGTCACCTGGCACACGGAGGAGCCCTGCAACGCGGGAGCCGTGAGGGGCGCGCCCACTCCAGGCGCGGACACCAGCCTCCTCCCCGAGCCCTCCACCCTCGGGCCGCGGACCCTGCTCCGGCCTCGCGTCCCACAGCCCTTCCTAAAAGCTCCGGTGAGCTGCACACAGACGCTGCGAAGCCTGGGAGTGGATCTGCAGGTGCCTCCAGCAGGTTAAAACCTGGGCCATTTGCCAGAACAAGAAAGGCAGGCGGTTGGTTGACCATCTCTTTGTGCTTCCACGTCTCTGGGTCTGTTTTTGTTCATCAGTTTATTTTGTTCCTTAGATTCCACACGGGAGTGAGATCGTGTGATGCTTTCTCTGACAGACTTATTTCGCTTAGCATGATAGCTCAGAGGGAAGGCAGGGTGGGTGGTTGTGAAGAAATCAACCAATGAACTTGTATGCATATATGCATAACCCGTGGACACAGACAATGGGGAGGTGAGGGCCTGGGGGAGGGTGGGAATGGGCTGGAAGAGGTCAATGGGGAAAAAGGAGGATCTATGTAAAACTTTCAACAACAAATATGAAAAAGAAAAAAAGAAAAAAAAAAAA